AATACATTTATCCATTTACATTTTATTTAACAATATATTAAGGGAACAATAGGACAAAGGAGAACTTGATTTCAAGAACGACTTAATTGTCCCATTTAGAAGGAATCTATTCGAACACTCAATTGCGTGGGTGAACGAGGACGATGACGCTATACTGTATGCAACGTTCCCCGAAGCACGAACAACCGCCGAGGTTATGCGATACCGAAATCACGGTGCAGGTTGACCACATTCAATCGATATCGCTGATAAAACTGGAATGAAGATATAGAAGGAATTTCGTTCGTGGCGCCGTAAATTTTATTTCGCGATCGATGCGATCCTTCTCCTCCATTGGTAGCCCTGGATTTGCATACGGAGGACTAACCGGAAGTTACAACGACGTTGTAAAATGGTTGCTCACCCTGCGCAGAAAGTCCGGAACATTGTAGACGAAATAGAGATCGCTTTCTTATACCGTCATATTCGGTGGTTCAGAAGAGCCTTCCTGCGAATCCCAAATCGCTTTGGTACTCCATAAAAGAACAGTAAATTCTCCCCAATTGATCCCTATCACCTCTTCCCGAATTGTCCATTTCTGTTTCCAAACTGAGCGCCAATTGGGGTGAAGAAATATTCCTTCCGTTATTCCTTCCTTTATGCTTCAGAATATTAAAAATAAAATAAAAAATCAATCTTGCCACACGTTCAGTGCATTTGGTATTTCATTTGCGGCCAGAAAATGTTTAATAAACCGTATGAATTATCAATTACCTCTTAAAATGCAACAACTTTTTTAAAACGAGACTGAAGGACTTGAATTTTTTTTAGATGATAGAGTACTCTACTAGATAATGACTAAAATGCTTCCTTTTCTCATTTTGCAGATTACAGTAATGATTCTATTACACCGTTTTAGGAGCTAATGCGAATAATAGTAAAGTTTGTATCGTCCTTAATAATACAATAAGATAAACGAATAAATAACAAATAAACTAGAATAAAAACTGTACGCTACAACGAGTAACGTAGGTCATATCAAAGTTTAGGAACAAATCTATCGCGATTAGAGAAAACTAGATGGTGGCGCCATCTAACGTCGAATGGTCGAATGCAATGAACAATCATCTAGTCAATTTACGGACGATAACTTCCTCTAACAATTGATTATTTCTCAAGAAACTTCATTTCAAAGAATTAAAAGTTATTTTCAAATTTCTAGCCGAATATAATATAACCATCTAAATAAATAACGTGCATGTAAAAGTAATACATATTTGTAAACTTAGCATTAGTTAGTAAAATAAGTCTTATATAGTAATGTATAAGATTGTTAAATACCTAGTTGCAAGTAGTGTTATTATTTAAATCGAGGTGTTCGTTATTTTTACTGATATGTTTCTTCGCTGCGGTGTGTTATACTAGATTTAAGATAACTTTGTAACTACACGCACATATTTTACCGAATGTACCTGCTAGAGGTAACTCAATATATAGTCTGTTCGACTTAATATCCGTAGAGACATTGTATTTTATGAGCTTTTTTCCTAGTCTCAGCTTTGGAGGGCTCTAAGAATAAGTATATCGGAATTCTTGACTATCCGGAAATCTGTGCTATAACGTAAGCCTGCATCTACCTCCGATACTACGTTGACAGTCCTGTGAGGGTATAAAATAAATAATCTAATACATTATAATATTTCCACTCGACACTTATAATTTATTTAGGTATTTTTTGATATTTCTTAATATAAATATCTTGATATTTCTTAATATAAATATCTTGATATTTATCAGACTAAAGAACAAATTATTCCCGTTTCATATACACGTGTTCACTTTAAGAAGGTTCATTATAAATTGAATGCTCGTTTTTTGGTAGCTAACAATAACAAATAAATTAATATTTACATGGTAACGAAAACTTCATTGACATAATTCGTATAAAATCGAAAATGTTAATTATGCGCCACTTAGGCGCCATTTTATAAGCATCAATGTAACTAAAGTTCTCAAACTTTTTGCTCCATATTATCGATAGCATGAATCGTGTAATAAAAATATTCATTTCAACGTTTGTATCTGGAACACTTATTTTCATATTTGTTTGTGAACGCCATATTTAAATTAATAAGAATGCAGGTAAAGAGAACAATTTTACTCTATCTATTGATGCTTAAAATTTATATTTGTTATTATTATATATTGTACTTACATTTTCGGGACACTTGTATCAGTTTTTGATTTAAGTATGGATTTAATATTGGTAGAATCGGAATTTCCTTTCTGCTTTGAGACATTCTCGTTATTTTTTGCAAACGTAACAGTCTTCCTATTTTCCACAGTTTCACCTTCACTAAAAGATCCTGAACCTTTCAAATCTGACAAATTATCTTCGTACTCCGTGGTTGACGATGGTGCCGTCAACGTCGCCGTCAACGTCGCCGTCAACGTTGCCATCTACAGTCTTCATTGGGGAGTTACCTCTCAGCTCCCTACAAGATATTTGCAAACGTGAGTCAGTTTCGCATCAGTGATACAATTAAAGTCAGACCACAAATCAAACACACGTGGATGCAGAATCAGAGAACTCATCTAGCAGTTATCAGAAGTTCGTGTAATAAAAATATTCATTTTAACATTTGTATCAGGAACACTTATTTTCATATTTGTTTGTGAACGCCATATTTAAATTAATAACGATACAGGTAAAGAGAACGATTTTTCTCCATCTATTGATGCTTAAAATTTCTATTTGCTATTATTATATACTTCCTACTATTTGTTTGTTAATTAGATGTACAAACTATGTTTCTATTTCAGAAGAAACATTTATATACACTTCATGCACACGTAAAAATAATTAATAATGGTTGAAGCAAAAAAGAAATACTTGTCAGAGCTTTCCCAACAGAAGAGGAACCAACAAAGTAAAAAACGATTAAATCCATTTGAGGTGCATATAAATAAAAACAAACAAAATGTTCTGGGGAAAAAGAGCAAACTGGACAAAGGACTTCCTGGTATATCTCGTGCAAAAGCAATAAAAAAACGAAAAGGAACGCTTCTACACGAGTATAAATTAAAAAATAAGGATAATATGTTTCTGGATAAACGTATAGGTGAGAGAAATGCTGGCATGAATGCAGAGGATAAAGCTGTTGCAAGATTTGCTGCAGAACGTTTGAAAGCTCACAAGAAGAAAAACATTTATAATCTAAATGATGAAGAAATATTGACACATAGAGGGCAAACTTTGGAAGAGATAGAGAAGTTCGATGACCCAAAAAGCGATGATGAGTTTACTGACGATGACAATAAGACTGGCAAGTTGGATGACAGATTTGTTAGCGAAGCCCACTTTGGTGGTGGAGTTCTGTCAAAATCGGAGAAATCCAGAAAGGATATTATCGATGAACTCATAGCTGAGTCAAAGAAACGTAAGGCCGAGCAACAGAAGATACGTGAACAAACGATAGATTTAACAGAAAAACTTGACACAGAGTGGAAAGATCTTCTTCCTATAGTAACAGCAGCTAATAAAGCAATTGAAGAAGTAGTTAATAAACCCAAAGCCGATGATTACGACATTGCTGTACGTGAGCTGAAATTCGAAGCCAGAGGTACAGCATCTGAGAAATTAAAATCCGAGGAAGAAATTGTAAAAGAGGAAAAAGAGAAATTGGAAGCCCTTGAAGCTGATCGATTGTCCAGAATGAAAGGTTTCGTCAATGATTCCAATAATGAAATTAGGCACAAGTCTGCGGATGACCTTGATGATGGCTTTGCATTGGAGGCTGTGAACGAAGAAGCACAAGAAGAAGAAGAAAACAATGAGGAAGATAAAGAAGGTGAAGATGATGACAGCGATAATGATAGTGATGTTGAAAAGGAAAATTCTGGTGAAAATGGTAGTGATGTTGAAAAGGAAAATTCTACTGAAAATGATGACGATGTTGAAAAGGAAAATTCTGCTGAAAATGATGGTGATGTCGAAAAAGAAAATTCTGCTGAAAATGAAATAGAAGACTTTTCTGATGCAGGAACTAATCACGATATTAAGGAGAAGAAAAAGGTTAGAGATAATAAAAAAAGTAAGACAGAAGAAATTTCTGAAGCAGTACACTCAGAAGCTGAAAGTTCTGAAGAAGATAATTTGTCAGATTTGAAAGATTCAGAATCTTCTAGTGAAGATGAAACTGCGGAAAATAAGAAGACTGTCACTTTTGCAAAAAATAATGAAAATGTCTCAAAGCAGAAAGGAAATTCTGATTCTACAAATATTAAATCCATACTTAAATCAAAAACTGATACAAATGTCCCGGAAATGGAAAATAAAGATAGACAGCAAGAAATTAGAGAAGACTTATTGAAAAGAAAAGAAATTATGGAGAAAGCAAGGAAAGAGCTACCTTACACCTATAAAGTACCAACAAGTTATGAAGAATTTCAAAAGTTGTTAAAAAATCATAATGCTGAGTATCAGTCAGTCATTATTGACCGCATTATAAAATGTAACCACTGGACATTGGATGGCAGAAATAAAGAAAAATTATCAGACCTGTTTATATACTTACTGCAGCATATAAATGATTGTGCTGTAGAAGATAATGTAGAAAGTATTGTTAACTGTTTTAACATTTTTGATAGGTAATACATATATTATAAATAACGTTATTTCTTTCTTGATTAATTAATCATATAACTTTTTCAGGTTGTGCCCTTTTCTATATGATTTAGCACACATGGATCCAGTGAATGCCAAAACTTCTATACAAGAAATAATTAAAGAAAAACACGAAAAATTCGAGAAGAATAAGAAGAGATTTCCAGATCTAGATATTGTATGCTCAACATATAATTTTATATACTTTCCGTTCACCCCGAACTTAATCTAATGCGAGTGTTTTTTGTTTTAGTTTATTTTCTTCAAATTGGTTTCTTTGTTGTTTCCGACGTCTGATTTTAGACATCCCGTGGTTACGCCGTGCTTGATATTTATGTCCCAGATCTTGCTCAGATGTCGTATAAGAAATAAAATAGATATCGTGAAAGGACTTTTTATATGTACACTTATTTTAGAGGTAAGAATAATTTAAATTTCACTTCGATGATATATTTGATTAACGTTACATCAACGTTTGAAAATTAACATTTACAGTACACGGTATTGAGTAAGCGGTTTCCCCCGTCGGCAATAAATTTCTTGCGAGGAATAATTTATTTAGCCACACCAAAACATTTGATACAAGGGATAAAAATGATACCACCGTTTAAAAGAAACGGGGAATCAAGTAATTTATTGATACTCGATGGTGATCAAACTGATCTAGATATTAAACCGAGTAATGCGCTTATGAAGGCGTCAGATTTACTAGAAGAAGGACAACTGGATGATGAATTTAAAATAAGAGCTTTAATAACAGCTATTAACATGCTGCGAGAATTCAAGAATCATGTGGAGGAACTAGAAGCTGTATATTCGATTTTCGAACCAGTTTTGAAATTACTCAAAGCGAATGCATTTGATAAGTATCCGTCAAATGTAAAACAGCATATTAAAGAATTCCGGAAAGAGTTAAAGGCACTGAAAAAGAAAAAATTAGAATATTTAGTGATTCAGAAGAAGAAACCAAAACCACTGAGACTATATGAACCGCGAATTGAGCCTGTGTACGTAATAATTTTTAAATTGTACTATTTCCGTTGTTGCATTTTTAACAAATTATGTACATTGAACGATTTTGCAGGTATGATGGTAAGAGACATAAGCCTATGTCCAAAGACAAAGCAGAAAGAGAGAAACTGTTACACAAATATAAGAAGGAAATGAAGGGCGCGATGCGTGAAATACGTAGGGATAAATCATTCATAGCGAAATTACAAATAAAACAACAAATTAAGAGTGACGAGGAACGCAAGCGTAAGGTCAGAGAAATTTATGGCGAAGCCGCTATGCAACAGAATGAATTAAAGAAGCTGAAGAGAAAGAAATAAAATTAGCACGAAGTAAAACATTCGATGCTCACGATTACTCTACTTGACGACATAAGGTTATTTGGAACCTTAACTACAATGAAATAACCGTATTCGCTATATAGCAAGTATGTCATTTGAATATTTAACAAAATGTTTTTCAAAGTAAATATGTCAACATACAAAGTATGTCGATCTATTTTACTCGCTTTTAGTACAATACAGCAATTGCATCAAACAGACTGATGTCGTCTCAGACAATAATGTGTATATAAATGTTGTAATTATAATAAAGTATTGTATATAAGTATACTTATTGGGAATCAAAGATCCAATTTTCGAGAGATTGCATGACGTCAGTAACAGCAGGGATTCTGTTTTTTTTCTTCATATATTCTGGCAGGACTAAATCTACATTTTTTATACTATTATAAGCGTGACATGAAGTTTCTGCACTTGTGGACTGAAAGTCTTCGTTGTTCGTAACTTTAGGTAATGATTTGAAGTGATTCTTTATATAAATTAATGATTTCCACTTGTCAAAGTATTCCTTTAAAATTTCGATATTATTGAAACACCTCGTTGCTGCATGTTCTAGTTGCAAGCAATGTCGTTGATCAATCTCGTGAAGAGTACTTTTCAAAATTTCTTTTAGTCCCTCCCGCAACAAAAACGTTTTATACATTTCTTTTGCCGCTTCGATATCCTGTCTCTTTACTATTTTTCGAGAAACGTATTCTTTCCACGTAGATAAATGTCTTTCCAAAATTTTACGGTTTATTATAGATTTGACGAAGTCTTCTTTTTTATTCATTTCAAGTATATTTTGCAATTTGTCACGCCAATGTAAAACGTATCTTTTTAATAAAAAGTTGGAAGTAAGCTCGTTCAACTCTTTTTTATGAAGTTGTTTCGTTTTGTAGTTTTGAGAAAATTTCTTCCAATAAAAGAAATATTTACGATACAAATTTATCTCCCAAAATTCAATAGCTTGACTTAATTTTTGTTTTTCTCGTGTAATAACGTAAAGTGCTTTTCTCCATTTATCAATATAAATACTTCGCAAGTGATTAATAATGATCGCAGCTCTATCGTTTATATAAGATAATTTTACCTGTTTTTCTTTTCTGTAAACA